GATGCGCAGCCAGCGGGGTGGTTTTGAGGAAAAGAAATTGGAAGGCTGAACAGGGAATAATAGCTCAACCACCTCTAAACTCACGACAAGCATCTTTTCCCCAAGATTTCACCAACTGTTCACAAAGTTGGATAAAAGTTGTCCAAGAAGTAGTTAAACTGGACGATCTGTTATCGACTTACGTCTACTTGACTTCTTACTTGACTTGTTATCGACTATAATTGTCATTGACTTGACTTACCTGTTAAGCCTAAAGATAAGGCCCTTCCATATGTCCTGATATGCCATCGATGCATCGCGTGTGCAACATTGGTTTTATGTCACCTTTGGCTGAAAAATGTGATTTAATACACTGCATTACTGCTATAGCTGGTGATGTCGAACTTTGGCTACCCACAGCAACTCCTTCTGTTTGTTTTTAAATCGAGTTTCCGAGCAGCACTAGATAATTGATAAAATGGGATTTAGCATTCTTCCACAAACAGCTGTGCTGATAAGAAATGCAATATTTTGTCCAGGTTTTCCCAGACCAAGACTTATCACCGGACCTACACCTTCTTTGATGAGAATATTGACCTTAAGCTCTGCTGTTTTATCGTGAAGGTGATACACTGGGAAGCTCAGTCGGTAACATCCTTCACCCTCTTTAGGTTGGACTCCGTATAAGGCAGGTGAGGTGGGACTAGCAATGTATCTCGATTAGAACCTTACGTAGAAATCCAGACAGCTTGACAAAGGGCAGGCGGGTATGTCGTGACACATGTCAATCAGCCGACTTTGTCAAGGGTAGGCTCGAGTCGTCAAGCAAGGGAGCGATGGTAGGCAGACGCTGGGGTTTGGAGGTAGTTCATACTAAAAACTCATAATCCCTAAATATCAGTGGTTGATGACGTTTCTCGATGATATCATATACGAAAAGTGGGTGCTGACGTTAGTTTGCTTATGACTTGTACGCGGTCTGGCCAATGATCGACTGATCAGTCAGGACCAGTCAAATGATGTGAGCGTGTGGTCTTGTCTGATTAAACATCACGGCCATCAGCTTGCAACCAACTGGAAGGGAAAGGTAGTAATCTGATTGGCGTGCCAGTTGTTGCCTAATATGCCAGGGCCCACTGTCATTCATGCCAACATCGAGAACTGCAGTGGTCAATAGTGACCACTGCAGCTGTCCCCCGAATGTTTTAAGTCGAAATGATAATATTTAAATGCAATAATAACGCAAAGCTGCTAAAAGTGTCGCATCGAAGTTTAATAAATCATGGGCTTAGGATTTTATGACCGTTTGGTCACGGTCAAACATAACATTAAA